CAGCTTTTCGCCGTCGGCCTTGGACTCGAAGGAGACCACCGAACGCAGCGTGAAGCGAGCGTCTGCCGTCGCAGCAGCAGGAGCAACGGAGGCGTCTGGTGGTGGCGGTGGGACGGCCTGCCCGGCGGGCACGACCGGATCGAGCATCAGGCCGAACATATCGTCGGGGCGGGCTGCTGCTGCTTCTGCGACGGGACGTGCAGCCGGCTTGCGCTTCATGCTACGTGCGTGCGGCTCACACACTGAGTGGGCGCGGGAAGAATTCTCCGGCGCCGACTGACGTAGCGTAGAGACCGCCACTCCCTTGGGTTGTGTGTTTTCTTTCTTTCTTTTTAGAGACCGCCAGTGGATGTGGGAGTCCACCGCGCACCGCGCTGCGAGCCTGTCGTGTCCCTTGTCAGGAGCAGGAGAGCCCCACCTGTCCCCCTGATCGTCCTTCCAAAATCCTGCTCGTGCAGGTGGGGACCCTGTCCTCGTCCCATCCCTCGTTTGGCGTGTCTGTTTTCTTTCTTTCTTTCTTTTTCTAGCCCTGCCGGAGAAATTTATGTCGAAAAGAAAAAAGCCAAATAAAAGAAAACGCGGCAGCGCGGCGCAGCGCTACAAACACCCCCGGTGTGTCGCTCCAACAGCCCTTCGTCCTCCCATCCCTCCCTTGGGCCACCCACAACGAACGCTGCACCGCGGGCTGAGCCCTCAAGGATGGCGGACGACGACCTCGTCGCGCGCTTGAGGCGCGGCCTCGAGGCCAAGGACCCGTCGGCCACCGCGCAGGCCTTTGTGTCGATCGACCCGGTGACGCCTCTCCCGCTCCCGCTGCTTGCCGCCACCTCCAACCTCCTGTCCCTCCACCGTCACAACACCGCCGCCTACTCGGCCTTTGAGCGCGGCCTGGCCCTCGCCGACGGTCCGGCCGCGCTGGTCAAGGCGGGACTGAACTTCAACGCCCTCCTCTACGCCTGCTGCCGCGAGCCGTCGATGCTGCCGAGCGCTCGCACCGCCTGGCGCGTGCTGGGCGAGGCGGGTGTCGCGCCGGAGCTCCCGCCGCTCGAGAAGTACATCGGCTCGCTGCTCGAGAGCCAGAGCTACGACGACGCCTTTGGCGTGTTCCTCACAGCCATCGACGCCTCGCTCTCTCCTAGCCTCAA